GAAAATTTACCTAGCACTATTATTTTCATCCATAAGGTTAACTCTTAAATTTGTTACATATATGGATGAAAATAATAGTGCCATGTAAATTTTCTAAAAGATGTTGAGTTTTCCGACGACATTTTTTATAGTGCTCGATGAGGAGATTCTAAATACGAAATTTTTTTTTAATCGGAACACAAATGAAGAAATAGGATCGTTTTAAAAATTTAATATAGCCGATGTGTCCTAATTTGAGGACCCCCCGCCGGGCCCCTGGTTGGCCTATAAGGTCCAAATTCAAAACCTAAACTCGACAACACCTCCTCTTTGTGCATACCAAATCAAAATCGGATTAACCGTTTAGAAGTTACCGAATTATTTCCCTCTTTTTTTTTCCTATACCACTGTGCGTTGTTTTGTCTTTGTTTAAATATTTCGGAATTAAGGCCCCCTACTCACTGGTCGGCCATGCCCGACTATACATTCTTACTTGTTTGTTTTTCAAATATAAAAAAATAAATCAATTTAATGTAAAGCAAAAAAATTAAGCTTATATATCATTTCCTAGAAAATTACATAGCCAACAAAATTTTAAAAAAAGTCGAAACCCAGAGACCTAAGTTTACTTTTCTGAATTATTGAGCATCGCTTAATCCGAATCCAATTCTCCATGTTTTTGGCCATATTTAAGACCTTATAAATGCGAGAAGACACCTTCATTTATAAAATCCGTTGTGTGGTCCGAAAGTCCAATCTGTCGACTTTAAAATAAAGGTTGAACAAATTGAGGCAAATACGTTTGGCATAGAATAAAGGCAAAATTGAGTTTTTGTAATTTTATGGTTGTCCCAAGCTTTAAGTTAAGATATCTCGAAGAAATATAGAGATATGACAAGAGTTAAACCTTTATTTTTAAATCGACAGATTGGACTTTTTTATGTGCTCTCAAATATGGTAAAAAACGGGGATTTCATTTTGAAAATGAGAAGTTTTAAGTGCATATTCTGCATATTTTTAGAGCATATTTTTAGTTTTTAAGTGCATTTTTTATGCGCATAAAACACTTTTTTTAGAGCATATTTTTGGTTGCCCTGCTAATAACATACCAATACTGACAGACGAACATATTTGAAACAAATCTTAAAATGATTTTAAAACGATTGATTTTGTTAACATATCACTGCAAAAGCTTTCAATTAAACAGATTCTAATATAAATTGTGTAAAAATGTATGCTAATAAACTAATTTGCATGCATTGCACTGGAGTCAAAACAGAAACTATAACGCACTTCAAAATACTGTCATAATCGCATAAATTAATGGGAAATTCATTCAAAAGAAATAGAAATAATTTCAATTAGCGGCTGATATATCAAAGTTTAAATAAATCATGTATAACTGAAATTCAAAGCTGAGTTTTCTAAATTCTATTAAAGCATCAACAAATAATAAAATTAAATAAATATTAATTATTAAATACACGTACTCAGGCATTTCCATGAAAAATTCAATTTAAATGAAAAACAAGGCGGAACGTTATAGCAGCATGTAAAAAAAAGTAAAAATAACGTATTATATTTAAAATAAATTTGAAAATTTTAAAAACAAACACAATTATATGTACGTATGTATATGTGATCATAGAAATTCTGAATAGAAATTACATTTAAATAATAAATATACAATTGTATATAATTAAATGTTGAAAATTAATTAAGTATACAAAATGCAATAAAAATAAATAAACTTATTAAACAGTGAAAGAGTATAATATATAACAATAATAAATAACTAACAAATAATTATGAAAATACAAATGAGGAAAAATGAGATACAATGATATTTGAGATAAATTTGGTCTGTAAACCAGCAACAGTTTAAAGTAAAACGAAGGATCTTGACCTATAGTCTATATTTTATAGTAGCGACAATGCTATAGTTCATAAACTGAACTATGATATACATATTAAATTTTAAGTCTAGGTTTCAGTTTGAACTATAGTCTAATCTAAAGTCCAATCTATAGTCTAGTCTATAGTCTAATCTATAGTCTAGTCTATAGTCTCATCTATAGTCTAGTCTATAGTCTCATCTATAGTGTAGTCTAGTCTATAGCCTAGTCTATAGTCTAGTCTATAGTCTAGTCTATAGTCTAGTCTATAGTCTAGTCTATAGTCTAGTCTATAGTCTAGTCTATAGTCTAGTCTATAGTCTAGTCTATAGTCTAGTCTATAGTCTAGTCTATCTAGTCTATAGTCTAGTCTATAGTCTAGTCTATAGTCTAGTCTATAGTCTAGTCTATAGTCTAGTCTATAGTCTAGTCTATAGTCTAGTCTATAGTCTAGTCTATAGTCTAGTCTATAGTCTAGTCTATAGTCTAGTCTATAGTCTAGTCTATAGTCTAGTCTATAGTCTAGTCTAGTCTAGTCTATAGTCTAGTCTATAGTCTAGTCTATAGTCTAGTCTATAGTCTAGTCTATAGTCTAGTCTATAGTCTAGTCTATAGTCTAGTCTATAGTCTAGTCTATAGTCTAGTCTATAGTCTAGTCTATAGTCTAGTCTATAGTCTAGTCTATAGTCTAGTCTATAGTCTAGTCTATAGTCTAGTCTATAGTCTAGTCTATAGTCTAGTCTATAGTCTAGTCTATAGTCTAGTCTATAGTCTAGTCTATAGTCTAGTCTATAGTCTAGTCTATAGTCTAGTCTATAGTCTAGTCTATAGTCTAGTCTATAGTCTAGTCTATAGTCTAGTCTATAGTCTAGTCTATAGTCTAGTCTATAGTCTAGTCTATAGTCTAGTCTATAGTCTAGTCTATAGTCTAGTCTATAGTCTAGTCTATAGTCTAGTCTATAGTCTAGTCTATAGTCTAGTCTATAGTCTAGTCTATAGTCTAGTCTATAGTCTAGTCTATAGTCTAGTCTATAGTCTAGTCTATAGTCTAGTCTATAGTCTAGTCTATAGTCTAGTCTATAGTCTAGTCTATAGTCTAGTCTATAGTCTAGTCTATAGTCTAGTCTATAGTCTAGTCTATAGTCTAGTCTATAGTCTAGTCTATAGTCTAGTCTATAGTCTAGTCTATAGTCTAGTCTATAGTCTAGTCTATAGTCTAGTCTATAGTCTAGTCTATAGTCTAGTCTATAGTCTAGTCTATAGTCTAGTCTATAGTCTAGTCTATAGTCTAGTCTATAGTCTAGTCTATAGTCTAGTCTATAGTCTAGTCTATAGTCTAGTCTATAGTCTAGTCTATAGTCTAGTCTATAGTCTAGTCTATAGTCTAGTCTATAGTCTAGTAGCTATAGTCTAGTCTATAGTCTAGTCTATAGTCTAGTCTATAGTCTAGTCTATAGTCTAGTCTATAGTCTAGTCTATAGTCTAGTCTATAGTCTAGTCTATAGTCTAGTCTATAGTCTAGTCTATAGTCTAGTCTATAGTCTAGTCTATAGTCTAGTCTATAGTCTAGTCTATAGTCTAGTCTATAGTCTAGTCTATAGTCTAGTCTATAGTCTAGTCTATAGTCTAGTCTATAGTCTAGTCTATAGTCTAGTCTATAGTCTAGTCTAGTCTAGTCTAGTCTAGTCTATAGTCTAGTCTATAGTCTAGTCTATAGTCTAGTCTATAGTCTAGTCTAGTCTAGTCTATAGTCTAGTCTATAGTCTAGTCTATAGTCTAGTCTATAGTCTAGTCTATAGTCTAGTCTATAGTCTCGTCTATAGTCTAGTCTATAGTCTAGTCTATAGTCTAGTCTATAGTCTAGTCTATAGTCTAGTCTATAGTCTAGTCTATAGTCTAGTCTATAGTCTAGTCTATAGTCTAGTCTATAGTCTAGTCTATAGTCTAGTCTATAGTCTAGTCTATAGTCTAGTCTATAGTCTAGTCTATATCTAGTCTATAGTCTAGTCTATAGTCTAGTCTATAGTCTAGTCTATAGTCTAGTCTATAGTCTAGTCTATAGTCTAGTCTATAGTCTAGTCTATAGTCTAGTCTATAGTCTAGTCTATAGTCTAGTCTATAGTCTAGTCTATAGTCTAGTCTATAGTCTAGTCTATGTCTAGTCTATAGTCTAGTATAGTCTAGTCTATAGTCTAGTCTAGTTAGTCTATAGTCTAGTCTATAGTCTAGTCTATAGTCTAGTCTATAGTCTAGTCTATAGTCTAGTCTATAGTCTAGTCTATAGTCTAGTCTATAGTCTAGTCTATAGTCTAGTCTATAGTAGTCTATAGTCTAGTCTATAGTCTAGTCTATAGTATAGTCTATAGTCTAGTCTATAGTCTAGTCTATAGTCTAGTCTATAGTCTAGTCTATAGTCTAGTCTATAGTCTATAGTCTAGTCTATAGTCTAGTCTATAGTCTAGTCTATAGTCTACTCTATAGTCTAGTCTCTAGTCTAGTCTATAGTCTTGTCTCTAGTTTAGTCTTTAGTTTAGTCTTTAGTCTAGACTATAGTATTTCTATTGTCTGAACTAGAGTGTATGCTCTAAAACTTCAGTCTTCCCTATAATCTGCACTGTAGTTTCGTTTGTACTATAACTGGGCTATGGTCCAGTCGAAAGTGAGGTTTACTTTCTCATATATTGCCTGGCCTATAGCTTGCTATAAGCTGGACTACATTATTGGCTATAGTCTGGAGTAAAGTGAACTGTAGTCCTGACTATAGACTAATGTCTAGATTGCGATCTGGTCTATTGTTTACCCTAAAGTATTCTCGGTATTATGTTATATTCTGTTATAGCATAATAAATAATCCGGATTTCGGTATTCTATTCTTTGCTGGGTTATTACCTCATAAAATGTTAAAAGTAAATTTCTCAAATTTTCAAAACCAGTAATGTGTAATATAATATTTTAGCTAGAGATAAATAATTATGAAGTAAATTTAGCAAATAAACAGATTTGAAAAAATAAAACATTTAAAGAGCAAACATTTTGCAATAAATTTCAATACATTATTAAATAACAACAAATGAAAGCAAATAATTAAAATAGAAACAACATAAAACTACAATAAAATTTAACTAGAAAATTAACAACACCAAAAAAAAAAAAACGGAAGTGAAAGAAAAATTTAAATAAAACAAACAATAGAAAAGAGAAAATAATAAATTCTAAATAACAAAATATAAAACTATAATGAAAAATCGTAATCTACTGGATGGTTCGATGGCGTCAAGTAATTGTGCAGCAGCAGTAGCAACAACAATGTGTTTAGCAAGTAATGCAAATAATTGCAGCAACAACAACAATAATAGCAATATTAAAAACAATGTTACAACGTTAGGCCACCCACACAGTCATAATAACAATAACATAATGGCTTACAACGGAAACGGAAATGCTAACGAATTCAACAGCAGCAATAATATGACGACCACCTCTATGTGCAATAATATTACTAGCAACAATAATAATAATAATAACAACACTACCTTAACAACAGCCACCTGCACAGAGTTGGGAAGTGCAGCAGCAACAACAGTTTTATCCTTAAATTCTATAAATTCAATAATGCCAACAGAAAAGCTAACAACAGCAACAAAAACTACATCTGCTATGGCACCAACAATTGTATCGTCAATTACCACAATGCAAACAACAAACAAATCAACAACCACACCCACCTCACCGCCTATAAGTCTGACCACAAATGGCCATCATCAACATTCTCAAAATCATCAACAGCAGCAGTATCATCATAATCATCATCACCAGCATAATCAGCAGCATCAACAACAGCAACAACAACAACTTTATCCTTCGATAACACCAACATATTGGCAACCTGCACCAAATCCAGCCCCATATTTAGTTCCAGGTAATTAGTACCAACAACAATACTCTGCAATACTTATTTGCTTATTACGTGAGTATGTGTACGCACGACACATGTACTTACATCTCACAAACACTTTAACTAACACTCAAAATTCTAAATCGTACATAAATGTTACCAATAGGTGCTTGTATTCGATACACGAGGGTAATTTGAAAAGTATGTAAACAAATTTTTGATCGTCAAATTCTCATCATGAATGGTCTGTATTAGCGAAGAAAAAATTGTCTAGACATAAACTTTTTGGAAAAATTATATCTAGATATAAATTATTTTAGAAAATTTTGTTTAGACATAAATTTCATTAGAGAATTTTTCTATATTACTCGTCAGATGTAGTATTTATAGTATTAGATCCAGCCTGTAGCTATAAGAAATCTCAGGATATCATTAAGCTTAGACCCAGATATCACACCAAGTTTAGATATGAAGTAACTGCCAAGAAAGCAGTTTCTCTTTACGGCAAGAGCAGGGCATTCACAGAGAAGACGGAAGAGCGATTCTTCCTTTTCCCTGTCTTTGCAACTGCGATAGTGTTCGTTGAAGGGGATCCCAAGCCCAATTGCATGTCTGCTTAAAACCCAATGTCCTATTACTATCAACCTCGATATGTCCCGCCTACTTTGGTTTATAAGGTGTTTTGTGCGTTTTTGTCTAGGTTATTCCACCTATTTTCAGCCTTTTAAAGAAAGAATCTGGGGATACTGCTCTTGATAAAACCTAACGGAGTTGCTATTGAAATGGCGTTGGAAATATCAAGAGCAGATCCCGTTCTGGCAAGCTCATCTGCCTCATCTGTTCTTTACCATAATAGTCCCTATGCGCTGGGACCCAAACATGGGTAATATCAGACAGTCCACCCAGCCTTGACAGATCCTTCTTGCATTGTCTAAATAATAGGGAAGTGCCTCTATTGACAAAGATTCCTATGTTGAGGTCATGTAGTACCCGACATTATCGCAAATATTTTAGCCTGAAAGACACTACAGTTGTTGGGAAGATGGTGAGATATACTTACCCAAGCTTTTTCATATAAGACACCAGAACCAACACCGCTATTCATTTTAGAACTATCAGTAAAAATTCTGGTACTATATCCGCTCGGTAGGTTACCTCTACACAATTCTCTCCTAAAAGGAACTCTTACTTTGAAAACTCTATCAAAGTCCGTGTGTGGAATAATATAATCCGATGGTTGATTCAAGATTGAAGGTAATAGTTTTAAAATCTTAGCGTGTCCATATGTTCTTGATCTCCAACTTCCGGCTGAGTTAAGCCTAGCTGCGCTACAAGCAGATATGTATGTTCAGCTTTAAGGTGGAACTTTTTGGTACTTTTCCATTACTCAAATAGTACTTTTTTGTACTATCTTTAATATTGGGCATAGAAACTTTATATAGCTGAATAAGAATCCATAAGAGGCGACCCCTTGGTACTCTTCGTTCTACAAATAAAGACTGTTTAAGGTGGAACTTTTTGTTATTTTTTTCGTTACTCAAATAGTACTTTTTTGTATTTTCTTTAATATTGAACGTAGAAAAATTATATGGCTGAATGGGAATCTATAAGTGGCGACTCTTCGTTCTACAAATGGTACATTTTAATATGTACGGTTATAACGGAGTAATAGTGTATACGACTTTTTGGTACTTGTTGCTTCACCAAAAGGTACTTTTTATACACAACATCAAAAAAGATGGGGGGTATATTGATTTTGTCATTCCTTTTGTAACGCATGGAAATATTGGTCATAGGCCCACAAAAGTATATATATTCTGGGTCTTTACTAAACTCTAAGATGATCTAGCCGTGTCCATCTGTCCGTCCGTCTGTCTCTCTGTCTGTCTGTCTGTCTGTCTGTCTGTCCTTCTGTCTGTCTGTCTGTCTGTTGAATGCACGATAGAGTTCGAACGGAAAGAGCTAGAGGGTTGAAATTTTTCCACAAATATTCTCTATAGGTAAGGTTTGATTGATATTGAAAATAGGCCCCACATATAAGGTCCCCTTCAAAAAATCTCTTTAATGCTCAACACATAAGTTTCATGCTAGTCAAAATCTCTCTCTACCAAATTTTATGAAGATCGGTCAATAATTGATATAAGGTCCCCTTCAAAAGACTTTAACGTTAATTACTGTCTTAAAAATACGAGTATAGCGATGAAATTCGACACACATAAGTTCCATGCGAGCCAAAATACTCTCTACTAAATTTTATATGGAGCAGTCCATAATTGACCCCCTGTATAAGGTCCCCTTTAGATAATTACTTTAACGCTCATTACTGACTTAAAAGTACGAGTATAGAGATGGATAAAGTTAAGCTTGGTTTATTTTCAGTTTAGAAAGATACGTTTTAACAAGGAATAAGACCCTTTAAGTCTCTTGGGTACTTTTTAATTCTTTCTTTAGAAAGTATCATAAACTACAGAAACTTAAATATGTAAACGTATTTTTTTAGCCAAATTTTAAATTTTTATTAAGCTAGTGAATCTAGACCTTTACATTTGTTTCTAAAAAATTTACATTTTGCCATCTGACTGATTTTTTTAGTTGACCCTCGTATACCGTTAACAAAGGTTTGAAGTACACAATAAATAATTAACGGTACATGGTGCAATGTATATAATTAAACTAAACCATTGTTTAGAAAGAAAATAACCGATACAAAAAGCTAATGAACTGAATATAAAATTGAAATCGTGAAATTACAATTAATACAAAATGTCAAATACATTTCTTTTACACAAAGTGTTGCAGTGTCTATGGATATTACGATGATTTCGAAAATATCCAGGTTAGTTATGACATTGATCATTATGACCTGGCATCGATATTCTTGACCTATGGAGTATTTGTAAACCATGGACATAATGTCACTGTGTTTTTGTATATTATAAAAGTAGAAAATTAGCAAATCTAAAATATTAGGTTGAATATAATTTAAAAATTTATATTTAAAATAAATTCATTGACTAAATTTTATTTCTCTCTCTCTCATTACAGGTATGTTTTTAATAACGCTTGACCTAAGATAAGTATATATTATCAAAAAGTATATCTTTCTCAAATTCTTTTAATAAAACCTTTTAGAAATATTCCAAACAATTAACTTTAAAAAACCATAACAACTAATCCTCCTCCTTCATCTTCGTTTATTTGCAAATTCCTGTTAAAACCTTTAAAACACCAATATTTTATTACTATATATAAATTTGAATCATTTTATTAGAAATGCGAGTCATGTTTTGAAAATATTTTCGTTCTCATACTCTTAGTGCACCAGGGGAAAAAGTGGAATATTGCATTTCTTTTATTTTTAGGTTTATTTGCTGGCATTGTTAAAAAGTATTAAACATTTAACAGACATTGCGAATGTATGTCTGCATGCCTGCCTAACTGCCTATCCATCTATTTGTCTCGATTTTGTAAAATGTCTTTTCAAATAACCATAAATATATACATACATAGCTAACTGTATGGCTGAATGACTGACTAACTGACATGTCTAACTATTGGGGTATTTATACCTGGAATGGCAAAATAAAACAGCAATAATATTTTAGCATGTTAATGTTTTATAAATTTCATATAATGTAGGCTTGATTGCTAAAAGAAGACGAAATAAGAAAAGTTTTGTTGTTATACCCTACATCAAAAAAAGTCCGTCCATCTATACATATAAACTTTTAAACTTGCCACAATTTAAAAAAAAATCCATAAAAGAGGTTTAATCTTTATCATAAAGCCGATAGATTGTGCTGACACCTTAGTCTTCGATCTGTCAAAACTTCTAAAATATGGTAAATATAGATGTTTTTTCAGACATAATGGCACGATATCTGGAAAATCTGATGTAATGAATTAATTTAGAGTCCAGATTCAGTGCAATTCAGTTCTTTAGAAAAGTGTACTTTGACCTCTGGGTTAAAAATTTGTTGGCAATATTTTATAACATTCATTTGTTTGAATTGTGAACAAAATTGTGAAAACCTTGATACAAGACCTTTTTATCCTTGGGCTCAGCTTACCAAGTTTTCAGAAACGGTATCTTAGAATGAATTAAACTTCTATTTTCTTTGGGGAAATCAGTATCTTATTTCAACTTTATATAAAGGGAGCCACTCTAATGTACACATATAGATAGTTCATAAAATAATATTAAAAATTGATTAGGTATAAACAAAATTCTATTCTAGAATTCTTTTATAAATAAAACAAGTAAGAAATTATAGTCGGGCGAGGCCGACCATATAATACCCTACACCTGTTACTAAAAAAAATGTGATTTAGTTTTCATAATAAAGCATTTAAGTTGAATTGTACCTTGCCTCAGATATACTTATTGTTGAATAAAATTGTGGACATTTAAGTAAAATTTTGAAGAGGGCTTTGAATAGGGGCTATGGTCAAATGAGACCCTATAATTATAAAATTCATGAGGGTCATCAAGGCTACTATAGAACTTGGTTTTGCAGCTTTTTGTCGAGATACGAGTATATTAAACATAATTATAAACTTAAAAGACCTATTCGTCCGGTTCAGTTGTATGGGGGCTAGGTGAAATAATGGACCGATATTAACCATTTTCAACAGGCTTCGTTTCCGGTACCATAGAAGATCATTAAATTATCTTCAAAATTACGAACTGTAGTTTGATTAGAAAGTTTACTAGCCCTATTCTGGGGTTTAGTTGTATGGGGGCTAGGTGAGATAATGGACCGATGTTAACCATTTTCAATAGGCTTCGTCTGTGGGACAATAGAAGGTCATTTTCCAAATTTTAATTGAATTATCTTCAAAATTGCGACCTGTAGTTTGATTACAAGGTTTACATGGACGGACAGACGGACGGACATAGCTAAATCGACTCAGAAAATGATTCTAAGCCGATTGGTATACTTTAAGGTATAGGACCAATATTATTGTGCGTTACAAATATCAGCACAAACCCAATATACCCTCCCCACTAAAGTGGTGTAGGGTATAATAAAATTAAAATCATGCACTGGAAAAGAGGGAATTTGAATAACAGAAACAACTGAAATACAGCAACAAAACTACAGTGATAATAATCCATGCTTAACTTTACTACTTTTTTCGTAATATTTACGAAAATTTCGTGCATAATATGTAATATTATTTAACGGAAGCAGGAAAACCTTTTATAATATAGAAAGGATTTTCAACTGAATATATACAACTATATAATATCCTACAAAAGCTATGAATAGAAAGTTTGTCGATCCAAAACTGATCCCAATTTGAACGGTAAGACCTTTAGTTTAAGTTACAATGTTTACATGGATGGACGGACGTAGTAGTGATTCTAAACCGATAGGTATAATTTAAGGTGGGTGTATGATATCAGCACAAATACATAATACTCTGACCTCTGATAATTCATATTTATATTTTTGAGGAAAGATATGAGTTCATTCTAATAGACTGCGACAAACTTATAAAATCTTTCCCTAATCTATAAATGTGTAGGGCCTTAGTACAGATCCTATATTTGATCATTTTTGAGTGTGTATGTTTCTTCAATTTATTTGCCACATTCATAACTTTATATTCAAATCGAAAATTTTGTTTTGTTTTTGGCCAAATGCATACATACGCACACTCACAACAGCTATATAAGAAAAAATGTTGATTATACATTCATTCATTTGTTCAGTATGTTTTATAGACGCGACAAAATTTAATTTCATTCTTATGGGATCAAATTGTTCGTATGTTGCATATAAACATAAACATGAATTTAATAAGAGTTTATTGCTGGTGTGCATGTACACTCACACACACTACTACATTCTATCATAGGCCTTTACCCAACAGTTAAATCGGACAGTCCCGAACTCCCTATTTAACCTACCGGCTGTCCAGGTGACTAGCTATTTTAACATGTACCTGTCCTACGAGGAAGTCAATCGTTACCCCATAGGTTACGAAGAGACAGACAAGTGTTTTTTAAGTGTCCCCTCTCTCGCTTACAAAAGGGACACTAAAGTGACGAAAGAGTACATCCGTAACCAAAGACGAATTAGAGCCAACCAGGCTCCAGCAGTTCAGGGGGGGGGGCAGTTTCGAAATAGTTATTTACCCAAGAGACTAAATATATTAACATATGCCTGTCCTAAGAGAAAGTCAATTGTCACTCTATAGATTACAAAGTGACAAGCCTAGAGCCAGACCAAATGAGTTCAAGTCATGGAAATGATTCTTTTCATTTAAAACTTGCCTTTCTCTTGATTACTTGGGGAACATTAAAGTGACGACTGGCTTCCAAACTTTATGCACAACCGTTGTCTAAATGTTAACAAACGTGGTAAGCTCACTATTTACTACGCATTTTGAGCTTACCACGTTCGTCAACTTTTAGACAACGGATGTGCATAAAGTTTAGATTGCTACAACGAATTGTTGCAATGTTGACAAAGTTGCATGGTCTAAATTACATGTTGTTATTGTATGTACGTATATACTTGACAAAAGATGTTTTTGTAAAATTTGGTGTCAATTTGGTACCAGGCGTGTATATTTTTTTTTCCTCTGTGTATGCACTTTCTTAAAGGAACACTTTGTCACTTTTAAAACTGAAGGGAAATTAGACAAGTATTTATGTGCACTTAGGCTATTAAAACTATAAAAATACACTATTTTGGCTTAGTTTTCAGTATTTTCCTGAATCATTGATTTGCATAGACGGAGCCGTCTAATCCATACTTAAAATCATGATAATGTACTAAACATTTCTGAACAGCTTTAGGGGCATCAACACAAAATGATTATTTGACAAACATGCCCTTACAAGAGATTCATAGAAATACATTCTTCCAATTGAAGTTAAGTGTCAACGGCCCCTTCTTCTAGTCGAGGAATTGGACAACCCTGTCGTAATACACACATCAATATATATATATAGTATTTTAATATTCAAATTTTATAGAACTTTATAACCTAATATAGATGGCACAGCCAATAAACTAAGCACGTAATAGTGGATACAATTTTTTTCATTTTCCATGGCAGGCTAAATGACAAAACAAAAACGAAGAATTGGAAAAATCGGACACACATACCCACAATTTCATACAATCATTATTGACAACAGCTATAATGAAAAATAATAAACGAAAATAGCTTATAAAAACAATACAGCATAACCGAATCTCTGGTACCCTCTATCAGCTATGTACATCTAAATACATAAACACATACTTATAAAAATGTATATTGTTTTAACTTTGAAAATAATCCCTGCCTAATACATACGAAAATGTTCATACATTGTATGAAATACTTCGTAGTTTAGCACTACGAAATTATTTCGTAATATCTACGAAATTGTATGAAACATTTTAGTTAAATGCAAAAAAATTTTAGAAAAATTACAAATCGTTATAAATTTTTTTTATTTACGTAATAATTGTATTACGAAAAACTTTCTTTTTCAGACGCCTTAAGGAAATTATTTTTGTAAAATTAAACAAAGTTTCTTCAAATATACGAACAAAAGGTATTAGAAAAGTTTTTCCTACTTTCGTAAAATGAGAAAGGAATTTGATTAAATAATATTTCATGTTATGCATGAAATTTTCGTAAATATTACGAAAAAGGTACATAGCTACGAAGTTTTCCTTTCGTTAACTTAAGCAACGATTGTGTTCCATGATTTGTTAGCTTTTGCTACTAGTTCAAGTTCGGCCCCTACTGCTGCTACTCTGAGCAGTGTCTGCACTTAGTAGTAAAGAAGTTATCATTGAAATGTTAGTTGTTGTGTAAGTACAAAGTCATTACAAAGTTATTGCTGAGTATGTCATCTGCTTAGTCCTGGGCCCAAATTATAGCATACGATATCGACCGAAATCTCCATTTAGATTCTATTGAGATTACGATCGATATCGTATGCTGTAATTTGGACTCTGGAATTCGAATTTAAAGTCTAACGTTGTAAGCATTCCATAGATCCAAGTATCTTGGAAGTGATGTTATTCCGAAAATAATATTCCTGACTAACACTGATTGGAAGATTCTTAAGAATTACGTTCAGGAAACTGAGTTTCTGAACACTGAAAAATAATTCATTTAGTGAACTTTTTTTTTTGCATGATAAGGCGCGCACAACAGACCCGATAGTGGCCTAGGTGTATTTCTTTGGATTTGTTATACCCTACACCACTATAGTGGGGAGGGTATTATACGTTTGTGCTGATATTTGAAACACACAAAGTATACCGATCGACTCAGAATCACATTTTGAGTCGATTAAGACATGTCCGTCCGTCCGTCTGTCCGGCTGGCTGGCTGTCCATGTAAACCTTGTGCGCAAGGTACAGGCCGCAATTTTCAAGATAATTTGATGAAATTTGGACCAAGCATGTTTTTTTTTGGCACAAGGACGAAGCCTATTGAAAATGGTTGAAATTGGTCCATTATTTCACCTAGCCCCCACACAACCGTACCTCCCGATTTGGGCTTTTTATGCCATAATTACGTCAAATATACTACTATCTCTCTAAAAATTGGCTCAAATAAGTTCTATATAAGTATAAATGACACTGCAGATTTTCGTAATGATCGCCCCTTATTTGACCCTAGCCCCCATACAAACCTTCAAAAAATGTCTTAAAAGTCTAAAATTGACTTGTAACCATTTGCATCGCAATGAAACTCAACATAATTAACTATTATTTTAAAATATATCCTTTTCCCAAATTTAATGAGGATCGGCCCATGTTTGACCTATACTCCTTTAAAAAGTCTCATTTAGAAAATTAGGTTTTTATCAATAAATTGCTTAAATACTTTGGAATTAAGGTAAATTTCAACATAAAAGTTTCTTTGTGAAAAATAAAATTTTTTTAAATATACTCATGGTGTAGGGTGTTATATGGTCGGCCATGCCCCACTATACTTTCCTACTTGTTGTAGTATACATCCTCCTATCAACCTAACCTAAGCATTCCATAATCAACGGAATCATATAATACCCACTATAAAAGTGTAGAGCACGCAAAAAACAATACATATGTATATGTATGTATGTACATACAACTACATAAGCATATTTGTCAATTGAGGGCATAATGTAAAATGACAAAGTTCACAAAATTAGCAAAAACAACAAGTACACGCAGACATATGTAAATAAGTGCATTAGATAGGCTCCGTTTTTATGGCGCAGAAAGAAGGTACTGATTTTTTGACAATCTATAATCTCTGATATGACTATTTGGTGAGGT